ACCAAATAGAAAGCGCAACCGCCATGATCGCGGCTCCTGCGCCTAACCAACAGCCAAGAGGCTGCGGTCTCCCTCCCGTGGAGATTGAAATTTGTTATGGGGAGTATTTAAAATGGCCCACATTCCGAGACCTTTTGCCAGCTGTCTATATAACCAACCCACGGTTAACAGAGATCGAAAAACTACTTCACCGCAACTCAGAGACAGGCGGGGAACCGAAGGCAATCGTGTCCATGTCTCGTCTCACAAATGATGGTTTCGCATCGGCATGGAGTGACTTAACTGACAGATTTGAGATCAAGAGGCTGTTAGTCAACAGCCAACTTCACGTGTGCTTTAATCTCCAGCCAGTTTCGCAGGAATCAGGAGCTGCTATTAAGGACCTACAGAGCACCATCCAAGGTTGCTTGACAGCTCCAGAGCACTTCCGCATAAGTACTGTGAATTGGGATTGCCTTCTAGTTTAACTGTGCGCCTCCTACCCAAGCTTAAACATTCACTGTGGGAACAGTCGTTGCACAACAAGGTTGACATCCCGATGTGGATCCACCTAAAGTCTTATTCCATTTTATTCCATTATTCCATTTTTCCTATTGGAACGTTATTGCACTCTAGAGGCGATAGAGGGCATGAGCCAAGTACAAATGCACAGTGAGCGTAAAGGCTCAATCTTGCAAACTTTGCTCAAGGGAGAACCATCCAGTGCGCTTGTGTTTTCTGTAGATGACTGTTGGTGACAGGTCTAATTTCATCAAACAGAAAAAAATCTGCCTGAACTGTTTCGCGAGAGTGCATCAATTAACAATTGCACGAGTCAACATAATTGTTTCACGTGCAAGGGTCGCCACAACACCCTCGGGATCGGAAGCGACGTTCATCTCCGAACGGCTTTTCAATCCAATCAAGCTTCCATTCCATCCAGTCCAGAAGTGACCGGCTTAAGTCAAGCCATCTCAGCCAATTTAAAGAAGTTATGTCACTTCAAGATTGGCTCCCCTACTAAACCGATGATCCAAATCAAACCCTCTGCCTTCGTTTTGGACAATTTGGTGGGCAATTTGCCATCGCAACCACTTCCACACAGCATTCTGAGGGACATACCAAATATTCAAATTGAAGTGCTGCCAGGCGCAGCCATTGCGAAAATGGAATCCAACGACAAGGAGATTGAAGAAGCCAGCCTTGCGAAGACTCTCGGTATACGCTAGAAAGCAGACACCGATGAGTTCCTCTTCTCCCTCCCTCGTTTAGAGATGTGTGGCGCTGTCCTGCTTGCGGAACATCGTAGAACACTTCTCCAAATTCGGCAAAGCACTAAGAGTCGTGGCCTGTATATTCCGTTTTATAAGGCGCTGCCTTAAACCTGATATTCAACTTCTAAAGGACTTTATTTACATATATATTTACTAAGTTTATTTAGTGGATATACATTTTAGCTGTGTGGAATGACAATCTGTTCTTATTTGGTATTTATCGCAACTTTTCAGAGATTTTTCTAGCCTAATAAATAAATAAGTCAAAAGTAATTTAAAGAAAAAACTAGAACTAAATTACTTTGATTATTGAGAAGACCATTCATTAATTGAATAAGTACTTCCCATATATTGTTGTTGACGAATTGATTCATTATTTGATTGGTGGCTTCCAACTGAATTCCAGGGTTGTCTAGGAAAGACATTTGAGTTAATATATGGTCCGGAACTACCGCTATACCCAGCCGGTGAATGGAAATTGGAATGATAGGGAGCAAAATTAAAATGACCATATGGAGCATAATTATTAATATGATAGTTGGCTGTTGCGGGTGTATTCTTATTGTCATAGTAATTATAATATTGGGGAGTGAACGTGTGTGGAACATTTTTACTTGAAAAATATGATTCTTCCGACAAATCGTTGTTAGAAGCTATAGGCTGTTGGTGTATTGCACTCGATTGAACATTAAGAGAACTTCTGTAAGGTTCGACAATAGGTAACTGTGCTTCATGCTTATACGGTTGCTGCTTATGGTACTCCAAATCATTCTGCATCTGGTGAAGACTTGCTGGGATGCTGTTTAAACTTTCAATTTCATTACTATTTTGCAAAATTTGAGGTTTATTTTGCTGTAGATCATCTAAAACGCCTGTTCTGGTTAAGGGTGGATCAGACGGCTCGACTGGTAAACATTCCGTGTTATTGACTTCATTTGTTTTTGGCACAGTTAATGTTTCCAAGGGTTTCTCTTGCTCTGGCGATGTAGGCTTTGGAACATCTGTATCGCAGTCTGATGTAATATCAATTACGTCTTCTTTATTTTTTTCTTCATCTGTGCGCTTGGATGTTGTTCTGATTGCAATAATTTTTCCACTATCTAATTGCATATATATTCCTTTCGCTGATTTTAACACCATAACTCTTTGGCCGGCCTTGAGTATTATATTAGATTTCTCTGATGAATTTGTAGGTATGACAACATCAAGGGGCAACGTCATTTCTTGAGCAGTCATTCCTTGTCTTTGCCACACTTCAGCAGGTATCCAACGCGTCGATCGACCTCCGCTAACGGCGTTTTGTTTTTTGGTCTGTAGTGGTTTTATCGAAGCCACTGGTCGCGTAATAATAGTACCATCAGAGTTTAAAATTTTGTACTGCATTTTTCCTGGGGCGTATGCAAATTTTTGATTAACAGACGCTTTCTTTTCAAGTTCATAGCTTCTATGGGCCTGTCTTTTTTCAGCTTGTGATAGCTTCCTATCTTTTTGATCAACTAATAAGCTTTCATGCAGAAAAGGATCTTTTGTTATACAGTTCGCATGTAGTTCAACAATTTTATTAACAATTGGATCCATATGACTCGTTGTTGGAAGACATTTTTCATCTTTTTTTTTATCTGCCATAGAAAGCTGATCGGTATCATTATTTTGAGTAGTTGGCTCATTTGACTTCTGACCGTCACTATCAATAGGATCACCATCTGAGTTGTAATCGTGACATAGATTTGTTATATCTCTCATAGACAAATGCGCCTCCGGATTGCACTCATCAACAATTCTATCAGACATTCCTTGTTTTTTAATTTGCCTGTCATATATTTTTTTTTCTAGGCATCTATCCATTACAATTCTGTACACATAACATGGCTTTGTTTGCCCATACCTATATATTCTATATACTGCTTGAGTGTCATGGCAAGGATTCCAACTGGCATCAAATATTATTACTCTATTAGCTCCAGTCAAGTTAATACCCAAGGATCCCGCTCTTGTAGAGATTAGGAAAAGCTTAATATTAGGATTTGCGTTAAATTCATTGACGAGCCTTTCTCAGCACATCAGCAGTACTGAGCTACTCAACGCATTAAGTACCCGAAAGAGTATCAGTGTTTACTCGACAAGCAACTAATTCCAAGCTCAAGCCCCATCATTAATCTTAATCCGTTCGTCTATCACAATGGAGTCATGAGAGCATTCGGGCGTATGAGAGCTTCTGAGTCATTGCGCTATGACGAAAGACATCCAATCCTTCTTCCTTATGAAAGCTCCTTCACACTTCTCCCTCCATGGTGGAAACCAGATATGATGCGCCTGATCCGGTGCAAGTTCTGGATTCCCAAACTCAGGAATCTAGTTAAGGCCACGATAAATTCCTGTCGAGTATGTGCAGTTTATCGCAAGAAGTTGCAAGACCAACTCATGGGTGATTTGCCAGTGGAATGATCCACGTTCTCCCGTCCGTTCAGGCATACAGGCGCCGATTTCGTAGGACCGTTTGACATAAAAAACTACACAGGTTGAGCATGTCTAATAACCAAGGGCTATGAATGCGTCTATGTATGCTTCAGCACTCGAGCCACACACTTAGAAGCCACTTCGGACCTGAGGACCGAAAAATTCCTGGCCGCTTTCGCTCGATTTCTTTCTCGAGTGCCCCCAAATGCGTCTATGAATGCGTCTATGTATGCTTCAGCACTTGAGCCACACACTTAGAAGCCCCTTCGGACCTGACGACCGAAAAATTCCTGGCCGCTTTCGCTCGATTTCTATCTCGAGTGCCCCCAAAACGTTCGCTGGAGCCTCCAAATCTTTATCGCGTGACTTTATAGAAGCTGTGAAAACGCGTGTAATTTCATCCTACAGCCATCAAAACTTGTCCTGGCGCTTCAACCCTCCAAACGCCCCTCACATGGGTGGCTTATGGGAAGCGGGAGTAAAGATCTTCAAGAGTCTCTTTTGTATTTTTTTTTTTATTTTTAACTTTACATTATGTTAAAACGTAATGCAGTATGTATTTATAAAAGTTTTCTAGATCACAAATCATATTTCTTTAATATTAAATGAAAATGTGCAGGCAATTTTTATAACGCTGTGTGCGTTTCGCGATGTTAGTGTATATAGTGCTATGGCTAAAAGCAAAACTGAAATTTACGGCGCAAATAGTGCTTATGTGGATAAAATATGTTATAGAATTACATTTTTAAAATATGTCAAATTTGATATAATAGCAATATGGCAACGTATTAATAATTTGAAAATGTATATGTGTGCCAGGACTTAAGGAGTATATTTATGAATATTGTTAAAAAAAACAGAATAAATGAATGAGTTTGTATGCGTGCGTGTGTTGGATTTGTTGTTGGTTTAGAGCCGCTGCCGCAACAGTTGTGCAGCTACCACCATTTGCGCAGTCGCAGAAGCAGCTGCGCCGACGCGTCAGCTGGAACGCTTCCATGTATGCTTATACGTATATGTAAGATGTGGTGTGAATGTGTATGCATGTATTTTGTGTGTGTGTGTGTATGTGCGGGGAGTGTTTTTGTACGCCTACTCCTTCGTTTTGCGACGCCGAAATAGCAAAATGTGCGGCTCTGGCTTGTGTATCATATAGTGTATCCAGCCGCGCGACTGCTGCAGACCGATTGATCTCCATTCGGATTCTGTCATCAGATGCGATTTGGGCACCAGCTTCACAAGCTCTTTTGGCAAGACCACATGTCTGTACTCACATTTCTCATCATAGTATTTATCCGAGTAGTAAATATCTTTGCTCATCTTTGTAATATGTTGGAATAAGGGATAAGGGTGCTGGAATGCGGCGTTTAATTTCTGTTTGACGTCGGCGTCCTTTTCTGCACGTTCAAAATTTGAGAGCCGCTTTGCAGAAGACCTTTTCTCAGTTCCTATTTGTGCACACTGATTTTACGTATGTTATATTACTTGTTTGCTCGTTTTGTGGCAATTTTATACGATTGTTTATAAACAATTCACTTTATGAGTTATTTTAAAAAAGTAATAAGTGACGCGGTCGAAAGAGATGTTTGTTCCAAGGCCACTTTCTCTTTCAAATACACGTTTGAAGAGTTATCCACGCTCTTATCAAAAATAGAAACATGCCTCAACTCGAGGCAAATCTCTCCATTATCAGAGAGCCCGGTTGACCTACTGGCCCTTAGTCCAGGCCATTACCTCGTCGGCAGTCCTCTTGTATCGATTTCGTAGCCTGAAATAAAGGAGACTGCAGCGTCCATCCTGAACCGCTGGTAATGTCTCAAAGCCGTTAATCAGGAGTTCTGTTTCCATTGGAAAGAGGAAAACCTAAAGGAGTTGCACAAAGAAAACAATTGGGAACATCCAACGAGAAACCTTCAGATCGGTGACATGGTTATCGTCAAGGAAGATAACCTTCCATCCAACGAATGGCGGCTCGGCCTAGTCCAAGCTACGCATCCAGGCACGGATAACATGGTCCACGTGGTAGATGTCCTTACTATCCGCGGCGTCATCAAAAGGCCCGTGGCTAAGCTCATCCACCTACCAGTTCATTCTGATGCCACCATTTCGTAGATACAGACCACCAAACTAACACCTGTATTGTCCTCTGTGTCTACAAAACCAAATTTAAAAAAAAAAGCTTCTTGTTCCTCCTGTAGCGACATGGTCCCAGACCAAGACAACACCAGCCAACAGCCCCATGGATTGAAGTCGTACCGATGCCGACGCTTCCTGAGCCTGAGCCCTGAGAAGCGTCTCCGGGCAGTACTGATAAACAAGTACTGCCCAACTGCCTGGCCCAAGAGCATTCACGATCATCGTGCCGCAGCAATGATCGCTGCCGGTCCTGTGGCAAGGACCATCACAGTTTGCTGCACATAAAAGGAGAGGAGAGCCACTGTTGCGGCTGGAATTTCCCAAATCGCTGAAATACGTATTTATTAAGTTCTTATTTAGAGCTTTGAAAATAAGTTTGAAGCAAATCGGACACAACTTAAAACTTCACCCAAAAAATCTTTAAATCACATTCCCCCCGAAGAAATTTGAATTCTGCGAAAAGTGTGAAACACGTATCAAATGATTTTTCATATAGATCTCTGGAAATGAATTTGAGCGCGAGACGTCACCCATCAAATCTTTGACCTCCATTTCCACCAAGGAGGTACGTATTTTTCGAAAAGTGTGAAACACCCCTTAAATGAATTTGAAGAAAGATCTTTGAAAATAAGTTTGGGGCCGATCGGATGGTAAACAAAAAACTTTCATACAACAGTTTTCCGCCAATTTACCACTGTTGCGGGTGGAATTTCACAAATCGCTGAAATACGTATTTATTAAGTTCTTATGTAGAGCTTTGAAAATAAGTTTGAAGCAAATCGGACACAACTTAAAACGCCGCCCAAAAAATCTTTAAATATCATTCCCCCGAAGAAGTTTGAATTCTGCGAAAAGTGTGAAACGCGTCTCAAATGATTTTTCTTATAGATCTCTGGAAATGAATTTGAGCGCGAAACGTCACCCACCATATCTTTGAGCTCCATTTCCACCAAGGAGGCACGTATTTTTCGAAAAGTGTGAAACACCCCTCAAATGAATTTGAATAAAAGATCTTTGAAAATAAGTTTGAGGCCGATCGGATGGTAAACAAAAAAGTTACATACAAACGTTTTTCGCGATTTTGCCACACTTGCGGGTGGAATTTCCCGAAACCCCGTCTTAACGTGCACCTACATCACATACTACAGTGAAAATTTCAGCTTCCTAGCTCTTACGGTTTGGTCTGTGCGTTGATCACCAATCAGTCAGTCAGTTAGTCAGTCAGTCAGTCAGGTTTTATATATAGTTTATATATAGAGAAGATTATGAAAATTAAATGCTTAAAGCCTAGTTAGCGAACACAAGTTTCTAATAGCATCACCGACCGATGGAGGTGTTTTATTTGCCAGTCCGGCCAGCTGTGCCCCTTTTCACAGCTAATTTTGTCAGTGACGCTATTAGAGCCTACATCAAAGAAGAAGGGTGTAGGAAAAAGTGTTCTTAAGTAAAATTAAAAATAATTCATTTGCCATATTATTTAAGAAAATACCATAAATAGGAGAAAAGAAAGTAAGAAGATTGTTAATAGAGTAAAGAACTGTATGCTAGATATATAGAGTGTTAAGTAGATAGGATAAAGAGATAGTATTGGAAAAGTAATGGGAAATCACCGACCCGGTGGGGGAAAATGTACAGCCTGTCCGGCAAGCTACGCCCCTGCTCATAGCTGAGAATGGTCAGTGACTTCCCGAAGGTATCCTGAAAGCAACGATTTTATTGGGGGTAAAGAAAGTTCGGTAGAGAAAACGTGATGCAAACTATTGTAATTTTTACATAACACGCGAAAAGGATTGTGCATAGCGTAGTCTGTTGTGCACGTCGATAGGAATAAGGAACGGTAATTTCTGGTTGGTCTAGCCGGAACAGAGAATTGAAGACGCCCAGCAGAAAAGGAGAATCAATATCGCCAACAACCAACTTATGTAGAAAGACAACACCGAGAATTATCCTACGGTTGGTTGGCAACCGAAGATTAGGGTCCCAATTTAGACCTCGTAAGGCAAAAAGCAGAAATTGCTTCTGAACAGATTCAATACGATCCTGGCTATTGTTTTACTGCGGAGCCCAGATGCAAGAGCAGTATTCAAGGACAAGGCGAACAAGAGAGATGTACAGAAGTTTCGTTATAAAAGATTCGTTAAACTCTTTAGACCATCGTTTAATGAATCCCAGTACACCTTGTGCCTCATTAACGATGGTCTCTATTTGAAGATTGAAGCAGAGCTTAGAATCAAAAAGAACGCCTAGATCCTTAACTGTTAGTATACGTTGCACTGGAATATTGTCGATTGTATATCTAACAAGATAAGGTGTAGTACGATTAAATGTCATAAACATACACTTTGAATAATTCAGATGCAATTGATTGGCCGAACACCAAAGTTGCAGAGCGCCCAAATCGTCTTGAAGACGAGAATGATGAGGGGATGATGTATGATAACCGAGGGGAGATCAT